CCTTGTGAGGATTTTCTGAAATGGGGTTTTGTATTCCATCTGCACTTCCTTCCACTAAGGGAAGAGAGTAAGCGTCCCCAAAGATAAGAATGGAAATTTGATCACTTCCTATGTTATTAGTTACATACCACTATCCAGCCTGCATCATTAATTTCCATATAGCCCTTTGCATATAGGGAGTAGGAATATAGGTAAAGGAACCCTGCAAGGACATAGACTCCCTTTCAAACTGAGACGAGATACCCACCTCAGGTCTTGTTTCTGCATTGCACCGATACAATCGCTGAAATGCAGCCAGGCAGGTCTTGGTTTGCCGGCAGCTATCCAGTCTTCTAATTTTCAGACGTCCATTTTATACAGTTCTCTCGTCCACACTTCGTGTCTACGGCTTCACCTTCCTAGAAAGGCTGACGCTGTTCCCACCTTTACATCCTTCCACGGAAAGGGCAAACGCTGGTGTGCTGCAAGTAACAGCGTAACAGACAGACACAGTAATCTGTGAATTTGCTTCTTGCAAGTTCAACAACTGGCCTCACCTTCCTTCTATGGTATTTGCACATAATACACAAGAACCTGTTGTTATGAAGTGTAACAGAAGAATAATTTGATCCAGGGAGAAAGAAGGCATAAAAAATAAAGACTGTGACTTTGCTCCAATGTAAAGAAGCTTAACCTATTTACGTTTTAAAGGAGAAAAAACACTGACTAGCCGCTTGTCTGGTCTTCCTTCCTATGCAGGTATCTATGTTGTACACATTGTCTTCATTTCCAAGCATTCCTGTTTAACTTGAAAGCAGGCGTCTTGCTACAGCTGGTACAGCCTTCCATATAGGAGAATCCCTTTCCAAGCAGGTTTCTACTTCCACAGCTATGTGAAAACTGGAAAAAAATGTGCTGTGTCTAGCGGAGGATCAACCTTGTACTTCATGTGTCTGGCAAGAAACAGAGTGAGGCAGCGCAGCCTTTTGTTCAGGGACTTCTGTGATAAAGAACCCGTGTTATTTTCCAAACAAGAAAAAGTAAGAGAACATTTATTTGAAAACGAAGAAAAAAGAGTCTCAGAAAAAATGCTCAACTTTCAATGGCCTTTAACAAAAGGAGCTACAATCTCTGAATTTTGACCATACCTCAGAAATAAATTCAGAACAACGATGCAGTACGTAAGTTGATACATGACATTTTTGGACAGAGGAAGATGTATCATAAAGGTCACTAAAAACACATTAGAAAAATAAATGCGTGGGAAGTGTTTTGAAAGCTTAAATAAAGGGAAAGGAGAGGAAAATAGAGAAAGATAAAATATAGGAAGATGACTCAGGAACTTCTAACAAAGCACCAGATCTGACACCAATACTCACTATGGTCAGTGACAAATAATTTAACCTCACGTGTAAAATGAGGATAGTAGCAACCTCTTGGGGCATTGGGAGACTTAATTAGTTGCTATTTGTAGATTCAACAGAAAGTCTGAAGGTGAAAGCACTAAATACTAAGTATTATTAGCTTCTAAAGTATTAATTTCTGTAATTGGGCCATGACAACGTTACAAAAAAGTGGATCAGTGTCAATTTTTGAAAGAAATTTATTCTTATGGTTCTATCATGTCAAAAAGGTACCCAAACAAGGAATTTTGCTTTTAAAAGTATTAACTGATAACACGTCTATGTAATACACAATGCAGCTTGTCATCTTCAATTCAGAGCTTCTGACTCCTACCCAAATTCACATTCCACATTCCTTAAGAGGAAACATCATGTCATCTTAACCAAACAGCTCTGTGAGCTGCAAGCTCCCAAAGCTCTTGGTGAAACTTGCACTGCTATGCATTCCCGCTGTACTCCTTAAGAAAAGCCCACAAGCATTGATTCATTAACACAAGACATGTTCGTTTGTGTGGCTGAACTCTTCCTTACGCTGCCTGATCCCTCATTAGCCAGTGCCGGGCTTCCCAAGCCAGCTGTACCGGTGGTTTTTGAGCTGGTTTCTCTGCTCTTCCAAGGCAGAGATAAATGACCCTTGTAGAAGTTCTGAACCAACAAGAAAAAGAAAAGAAGAGCAAACCCAGCCCCCAAGAGTTTTAAAACAAGCTTCTCTCTTCGGCTGTCCACAGATTTCTGTTTTGCTGCCTCGTTCAGTAAAGAAGGTGGTACTGAAGACTGAAAACCCTCAGCTTCTGCTTCATTATGGTTATTTGCTGTGGCAACAGCATTTGCTTCCTCTGTCTTTTCTTGGGCATAAAGGGCATAGCGGGCCACAGTGATAAGGAATTCCTTCCCTTTGGA